TCAAAGTAATGAGCCCGCGCGAACATGCATTCCACCGTTTCGATAGCGAAGTGCACGGGTGTAACCGGTCTAATCGTGCATTAAATTAAACCCGAGCAGAAACCACCGGTTAAGTCCTATCTGCGGGGGTTTATCACTTTCCAACATTTTAATGAAATCGTTAGCAGATTACCTCCTGACATATTTTCCGATATTAGTTATGAATTCACGGTCCGGTAGCGCGCCGGAGCCTCGAGTCCCCGCTCACGTAACTTCGCGGTTAAATGTCAAATAATCAATGTCAATATCGCCAATGCTTAATTGGCGATCGATTAATCAACGTGTCGGTGCTAAACCGAGCAGCTCTTTTTTCGGGAAATTCTTTATCCTCACCTAACTTGCATCGGGAATTTTTTCTTATCACATTCTAACATCCTAACATTAGCGCGTTAACACCTGACATTTTCTTGAGATTAGTGATAACGAACCAACCGCCACATACACGTTAAAGAAGTCTTCCTTTTCCAGTCCCACAATTTCATAAACGTGAAAATATCATCGTCGACGCCGTAGATATATCTTAAATTGAGGAAGCACTTAGGGTGAGCTTTTTTCGCGACATGAGTGGGAGGAAGCTCATTGCAAGAGTCATTACCTGCATTTTCGAGGCAGGGTCGAGACACCTACAAGGCCGATAGCGTTGATGGGTGTGACTCCTGCCGGCATTCGCTTTGCATATTACTCGGCAGGGCGACGAGCGAATATAATACGAGAGCCTGGCGAAGAAGGTGTTCCTCCTTTCTAGAGGAGCACAACCGGTGGCTTTTAACGCAGTCAAGAGTGGGCGAGATTCTCCCCTCACCTGACGAGCCCCGGGGTCCCCTCCCACCTGTATGCCCTCCTCCACGTGCACATGCAATTACGCGCATCGCCCAGGCATCGGTCGACTTTGTCACGGAAATATGACGACATTTCCGCCCCGCTCTTCGGTTTCGATTTTGCAAACCTCGCGATCCCCGTTCCCACAAGTCCTCGAAAAAAAAAATGTCCGCAACCCGCGGCTCGTAATCCTCTTGCGGGGTACTCTTTCCTCCGCCATGACGTTATGGTGTATTGTGCTCGGGACTGTTGCAGGCGGCAGCTACAAAGGCTGCTGGCCAGCCTACTTCTGACGCACGACAACGACACGTTGCGTACAGAGTAACGACGGGTTATCGATGACAATTACGCGCCCAGTCGGGAAAAGTCGCCGTTTGTCGGCCCGCGGTCCAAGGGACCCACCACCCACGCTGGGAAAATTGCATCCCTTTGATAATAATGAAATTGATAATAATGAAATCCTCATCTTACCTCTTACCGATAAATTCGAGATAGAGGTAACTGGCACAACGCTAGTTTTTTTAGCGATGAGGAAATGCAATATCGAGTAGCTCACAGTCCTGAATGTCGCATCCTGCACATTTTTCAAGTTCCTTTAAAAAAATCGGGCTTGGAAAATCCTAACTGCATAGTCAGACAATAATGCACAATCGTCCAGGTCGAGAACCCGTGCGACGTTTTGCGCCAGAAGGCGGTGCAGGCGGTGCAGGCGGTGCAGGCGATGCACCGAGGGCCTAATGTCCATGCATCCATGCATCCGCGGTGGCATGGTGCGATTCCGTTACGTGGACGTACTGCTAGGAGCTTCCCACGCCAATTAAACATGACTCATTAACGGCCAGAAGCGGTAGTCGGGATCGATGCTTGGCCGAGGCTACCAACCCCTTCTATAACTCTCCTTGGAAGCAATCGGAACTAATCTCGACCATCCTCGCCGACCGTTGGCAATACGATATTGTGGCTGCCTGCCCGAACGGCTGCGGAACGGCCGCACCGGGAACGAAACCGGAGACCTTCGCCGACACCTCGCCATGCCTCGTCTCTGCAAAAATGGTCAAACTGGAGCAAATCTATGACTCCGCGACATTTTTCTTCGCTGATAATGACCATGGATCATCGCCAATTGCATGGCTACTCGATTATGGTAACCAGAAGAGCGCGTAAGGCGTTATCATCGATTCGGTGCATTTTCCTCTAGGCTGCACCATGGATGGAATGAGTTATCGCCGATGCATTTCATAATTGCATCCGATAATCTGAGTCCTTGGTCAAACTGGAGCAAATATTTGAGAAATATATGATAACGACCGTGGGTCATCGTCCATTTTACGGCTACGCGATTATGAGAATTCGATGCATTTTCCTATGGGCTGCACCATGGGCGGGGTGAATTATTCCCGATGCACTTTACGATTGCATCCGATAATCTGAGTCCTTGGTCAAACTGGAGCAAATATATGAGAAATATATGATAACAACCGTGGGTCATCGCCCATTTTACGGCTACTCGATGATGAGAACCAGAGGAGCCCGTTGCGGCGTTTCCATCGATTCGGTGCATTCTCCTGTAGGCTGTGCACCATGGACGGGGTGAGTTATTGCCGGGGCACTTGGCGATTGCTTCCGATAGTCGGAATCCTAGTTCTGGCTCTGCCGGCGAGCGTCGCGTCGCTTCGGCAGCCTTGGAATCCCGCGGCGTTTGACTCCGTTCACGATCGGCCCGGACTCCATGGTGTCCGTTAAAGGCAAGCATTTAGACAGACTGTGGGAGCACAGCGGACGGACCCGCTCGGCTCGGCCGAGGTTCGAGTACTCGCCACTCACCGCGAGCGGGAATTACGAGTCGATCGGAAGAGTCACCTCGAACCTCTCGGAGCCGATAACTCCGAGAGGTCCGACCGAGTCTCGCCGATTCGAAATGCCGGCCAGGGTTCGAAAACGTGTCTCAAGGTGCAATGAAATTGTCATTCCCTGAACATAAATATTTCCTCCGACCTGGATGCACCTGATCATTTTAAACATCAACACGTGATTATGGAGACCCTCGGAAAGAACGTGGTGCTCATGAAATTTCATAAAAAAAATACATCCGTTCTTGGTTCGTCTTTGCTAAACAATATTTTTTTTTACCTAAGAAAAAAGACATTTTTTTCGAAAGATCAAATTTGGTGAGTTTGGAAACCTTTATTTGGACCTCCGTAATCGCGGGCTGATGTTTCGGATGATGCGGTGTGCCCAGTTTGGAGATAAGTTCTAGATGTACTTTGACGTTTCGATATCTCCAGGGAGTCTTTTCAGGCAACGCGAGAGAACAGGTGTCTGAGACATTAGGAAGGATGTCTCATCCAAGGATGTTTGGGGCAGGAGAGTCGACCTTGCGGGATCTGGGATCCGGAGATCCAGGGATCCAGGATGCGTGGCCAAGGGCGCCCACCTCGGCATGGGTCGGGCCCAGTGGACACTCCCGGATCTCCAGGGTGTCGTCATCGTCGGCGAGCACGCGCTCGCGGCTCTTCTCCGGATTACGTAACTCCGCGAGTTATACCGCACGGGCTGTACCGCACCTTCGTCACGAGCGGCACATCGGCCGACGTTCCATATATATACTATCTACGGAGGACGCGGGACCTGGGCGCATCTGCCGGCCATTCAGGCCTTTGTCTCGCGAGCGTGGGCGTCAGGAATCTATTGTTGCGCCGCTCGTTTGGTACCTTCGGGGAACGATCCATGGACTCGTGCATCGGGGGATCGGAGCCCTCTTCCAACTTGCCAGGCGAAGACGAAGACGTATGGAGACGAGTCTCCGGAGAGATGGCCGTGTCGCGCTGGAAGGTGGAACCGCGACAAAAGGTTCCTCCGATCATCCGCTAACTAGGTCCACCGGGTGCCCCGAATCGGGGACCCGAACTCGGGTCGGTGGAAGTCGGTCAAAGTGGAGGAGACTTGGACTCGAACTTCCAAAGTCCACTTCTAGAGTTTCTCCACTCTCTTCCAAGGACACCAGGCGAGACCACTCTCCCTGGTCCACCGCATCATGCCCTGGACCAGCGATAGTTGGTCTCGAATTCTAACCAGGACAAGGCACCCAGGAAGTCGCATTTCCAAGAGCTCCTCCACTCTTCCGACTTGGTCTTGACCCAATCATCCTAACTTCCAAAGTCCACTTCTAGAGTCCCTCCACTCTCTTCCAAGGACACCAGGCGAGACTCTCAACTAGCACCCAGCTGATGGAGCCGTTATCAGGCTCCTGTACCGCATCATACCCTGGATCAGTTGGTCTCGATATCGATCCAGGAGGCACCCAGGAAGTCGCATCTTCGGGAGCTCCTGCCCTCTTCCGTGACATTTAGGATAGCTCGTCACCTTTCTCTCAGGTGCATTCTTCCTGCTCTTTCGACTCGAGGGGGGGAGCGTCTCCTTACGAATCCGCATCCCGCAGCATCCTAGCGCATCGCATGCCGAGGTGTGGCCAGACACGCGGGGTATTCCGACTCCTCGACCCGCGATATATCCCTATCTCTGGCCCGATAGGAGGCGCGTCTTTCGATTGTAACGCGCCGAGAGATTGCCTCGTCGACTTCTCGCATATCTCTCTGGCCGATTCACACGCGGCCCACGGGCCGGTCTTTTGACCGGCGCGAGCGTAATTGCGAGCTCGCGCCCACTTATCCTCGCCTTCCGAGATCCACTCGTTAGATCGGTCGCTTTGTGCCGGCCGGGTCGTTAGAGACCTCCTCTTTCTCTCTAACCTGAAAAAAAAATGGGAACCAAGTTCCGGCCGAGTCACGGAACCGAGGCCAGTCCGGCCCTGATGATCCCATGCTCTTCTCCGGCGTATTGCCAACGCTGAGGGAAGAATCTCCCCGAACCTAAGATATATTTCTCTGAACAGTGCCATGGAAATATTTTAAATATATATATAATCTAATTTTAGATGCGACATATAATCTGAAACTACTTGATAAGTAATGACAATCGACTTGTCGGACCCTAGGGCCTCCAGGATGCAACGGCTACTCCTATGAACCAAGGGTTTTCCTGAGGATCGTACCAAGTTTTAAATTTATTGAACTTGTTAATCATTTATCTAGGACTCGACTAAGTGATGGTAGATGAAGGTGTGATTAATATGCGAGATTTACCTCTCTGGACGTTGGGGCCCCCAGGATGCAGGGGCTACCCGGGCGGCGGGGCGCGCTGGCCCACCGCTTGCTCGAGAGCTCGCTCTCCTCCTGAAATCAAACCGGGAAAATTTACTCGACACTTAACAATGCACGGTTTAATATTATTAACTCACTCGGGAAATCATAGATTTTATTGCTCGATGACACGAGGAAATCGCAAAAAATCACCGAAACACTGTCCTGATTTTAAGGCCCGTCGTCCCTTGTTACGGAATCGCGTTCCTTATCATATGAAATCAAAGGAAATCGGTTTCTAAAGAAGGAAATTTCGTTTTCACAGATTTCCAAGGGGATAACCTCTCGATCACAAGTTCATCTCGTATCGGACTTTTGCATGGAAAATCTATAGAAATCTGAAAAGAGCACCCATGACCCGGACACCTCGACGAGGTACTTAGTCGGTACCGCGACCTTTGTGAATATTCAATTGCACCCCCGCAAACTCCGCCACGAAGGTAGTCCAAGATATGTAAGCAGTTCTTATCGCGAGATTAGCAGTCTACATTGCTCGGGATACAATGTGTAGTTGGTAAAGTGATCGCTTCATAAAAGGCGAGCAGGACTGGTTTCCTGGGTGCACCGACACCCTCTCGAAAACCGAGCACTTATCAACGCTTATCAACTCGCTTCCTCTTCCGGAATTTTCGAGATTACATTTCCTAAGCTCAACGGTTCTCCGTTACAATATGAAATCATTAGGGTATCGCGAAGGGGACATCAGGACATTTTAAATTGTATATCATGAACACGGAGGCTATTAAGAAGATCCTGATATCCATAAAATATGAATTTTTAAAAATTTTCTTTATAGACTTTTCTTTTTAATTTTTATGAAAAATGAAATTTTACGGGTGTCAGATTCTTCCACCTAGCCTCCGTGTTCACGTTGTAAATTTCGAGAAGGAAAGTTTCATTAACGATTGATTTCTCGGATGCCGCTTTCATATCCCCTTAAGCAAAATTCGAGATGGGTGGGAAATCTATCCGGCGTAATTCGTGCGGAAATTTACCACGAGTGATAACGGAGAGAGCTTCGGCAGGGCTCGGATAACGTGGAACGAAATGGAGTCGAGTAGACGCGAGATGAAGAGCGTGTTAAGTACCGACGATTACTCGCTGACACGCATATCGAGATAAGACCAATCGGCAGCTGATTACAAACTTGCGATCCAGATCTAGCGGCCGCCGTGATTTGTAGCTATCACTGCATACGCACTACGCCCTGCGGAACCGGTTTATTGCATTCAATGTGTACTCATACATAACGGCGGCCCGTGTTATGACAGTTGCACCGATAAGACCTCGCCTTGGCTATGATAACGACGAGTGGCATGCGCGCGATTCTAGCGCGTGCTCGGCGCGTGCGATTCTCCGCGGCCCAATTTCCTCGGAATTTTCTCCTCTTCCGGTTATCAATTTTTCCCCGAGAACATTCGCAAGAACGCTATTATCAGTGTTGCATGATACCGTCAATCGACTAATATTAAACTAGTTCATTAAAAAATGGAAAAATAATTCCAAGACGATTTTATCGATCATTGTCGCGTCTTGTTAATTGTTACGGATCGCGCTATCGATTTTCCCGCAATGCCGCGGAATAGAGAGCACGCGCTCGGTTTTTATTGTCCTCGGTGGTTTTCCAGGCTAGTCGTAAATCCATCGAGCAAAAGTTCATTACCAGATAGTCGGATAAACGTTAGGTCGATCCCGAGACGCGGTGCGATCGATAGACGGTGCGGAAAAAGAGCCGCAAAGACGCGTCGCGAGTCGGCGCGCGCCGAGCGGCTCTAATGGATCAATTATCCGAGTCATTTGAAATAAAACAGGGCATAAAGGCCCGGCCTCTCGGGGCTGGCATGCCGCGGTGTCATGGGGAAACAATTAAGATCGCATCTTGTGGCACGGTGTCAACGCGCGAGCGGCGAAAGCGCAAACCCCCGCGAGTTTACGAGCAGCGCGCCGACGCGCCGCAAACGCGGGACATTAACTTTATTACCCGCGAGACTCCTCGTGACGTCGATCCTTGATGTCTCTCGAACGAAAGTCTCGACCAAGAAGAGATTGATTAATATTTTTTATTAAGAAATTATTCCGGGATTTATTGAAAAATATTTAAATTCGACCCGTCGTCGAATATTGAGGAATGTTAAAGAACAGCGCACTGACGCGCTGGAAATACCCGACATTAATTTTATTATACGCCACGGCAATGCTTAATCAGAAGTCCTCGACAATTCGAACCAGAAGAAATTAATTAATACTTTTTATTAAGGAATTATTGAGGGATTTATTAAAAAATGCCGAGATGTCAACCTATTGCCGTATGACGTTCACGAGCATGCGCTGGAAGTACGCGACATTAATTTTATTATTCGCCACGGCAATCCGTAATCATCAGATGTCCTCGACAATTCGAACCAGAAGAAATTAATTAATATTTTTTATTGAGACATTATTGAGGGATTTATTAAGAAATATCGAAAGTCGACACTTTGCCGCGTGATGGGCAAGCTAGAGAATGACGAAACAGAGTCATGGTACGAGGCAAAATATTTTAAATTGCGAGTAAGACTCGTGGTAAATGAAAGGATGAAAAGGAAATGTTAATGTTAAAGTCCAAACGCGCAATGTTAAAATAAATTTTAAGGCAGGGGCTGAAGACATTTAAGGAATCTTAGAAGGCTGCACGAGAGGCGGTGAAAGACCTCGCTCGCGAAGACGACACAATTATGGGAGTCATTTCGAGTAAAACGGCGCAAGGACTCGGCAGGGGAGGTCCTTTTACGCCAAGCCCTGTCAGGATGAAACGATCAAGACCGCGTTTTGCGACACGAGCGGTCGAAACGCAAACCCGCGAGTTTACGGGCCACTTCCCGAGACGCCTCGACGTGCCGCAAATTCATGAGAAATTATTCGAATCCTCGGAGGAAAAAAAAAACAAGATAAACTCTCAGGACTCTCCGTATGAAGTACACGGACCATGGTTGATGACGTCGAAGATAACGAGTTCCGTGACCGCGAGGAGAACAATACGTCACGGCGCGTTACCTTCGACAAATTATGAGAATAAAGAGGATTTATATCGCCCTCTCGAAAAACCGGAGGAAAACGTAAATTTCGAGGTGATTCCGCGAGATAAGGGCGATTCGGACCCATGCGTCCTCAGTCACGTACTTGGCGCAAAACTCTACCGAGCCACCTAAATCGCTCACTAACAAACAAAAATTCATTTTTTTTTTTTTTCAACGAGACGAGGTTATTTTAATGACACGATAAATTGCGATAAAATTACATTGTCTCTGTGACGTCGCCTTAAGCCTCTAAATTAAATTCAAGAAAATAATGACATAACATTGCGTGTAATTGAAGTAAAACTGCCCTGACACGGTAAATGTACAATGTTACGTGTATTAATACATCTAATTCATAACTTTTCAATGCAACGATCGAAACCTTCAGTTACGAAGTGGAAAAAATGTATGTAAATTCCCATTGATTCTTATCAGTGGGTTATCAAGTTTCACCTACACATGAGACGAGTGAAAAATCCCTGCTGGAAATTGGAATTTATGGAAGGAGGGAATAATTTGAGGAAAAACGCGGCTCTGGGTGGCGGCAAAGGAGAGGTCTCGTCCTCGCTAATGGAACAATTAGTGCAGCCGGGAAATGCAACTCGAAATAAACCCTGGATGAGACATCTCGGTGCACTCGTCATGGCGGAACAATTAAGATCGCATCTCGGTGTCACCGTTGGAAAGCGCGAGTACTCCCCTTTATTGCGCCGGCAATTTCGCGCACGCGACGCGCGGTTATTAAAACGTTTAGAACAATTACACGCGACCGAGCCGTTCCGCGGCGGTTTCTTTTCCTTCCCCGCCTTTCCGCAAGGTCTTGCCAGGCTAACCGACCACCGGAGACGACCGGATAATAGATTTATTACGAGGAAACTGAAACGGAGCGATGCGTGCTCTCGGCTGGTCAACGATCAGAATCGAGGCCCCTCCTTTGCAAGAAACTCCGCTCTAGAGTGTTGCGTGCTCATGTTCGCGTTTACGGAGACGCGGCCGAGCCGCTTTAAGAGTGTTAAACTAAGTTAAGCTAAACGAATAAGCGAGGCGATGGAGAAGCCTGCGGATTATTCCCGGCCTCTGGTTTCTTGCGCTTCCCGCCTTTTTATTCCGCCACTTATGCTCGACCGCTGCTGGGCGGCGAGACGCATTATCGTTACTAAGATTTAGATAAATGTGCGAGACGGATAATCAATGAGGCTCGCCATAATTTTTTTTTTCCTTTATTTCTACGATATATTTTCCTTTAAATGTACGAATTGAATTATTAACTGATGGGTATATTTTAGTAGTATTTTAATTTCCAAATAATCCCCACCGCATGTTGATGGAAGCTGGAATAAAATCGTAATTGGCCGTGCAAAAATATATCTATATACGGAATTTTTACAGGAAATTCCGGGTAGGTAGGTGGAGTTCCAAAATGTGCATTTCCAAGTGGATCATCATCGTGATAGAGGGTGAGATGAAGAAATGTAGATGTCGGGAAGTATTTGGAGAAAATTAAATGTAGAAAAGTAGGGCTCCAAGGGGAAGAACTGATAAGACGGAAGAGTCATTTGCGACAGAATGTGCACTTTCAAGTATGACCAAGCACCTTAGTCGACGGCCACCCGAGCGATGGGATACGGGAATGATTAAATTCTAGAAACCCGCGAGAAAGTCCTCATTGGATGGAAGTTGCAATAAAATCATGTTTCGCGCAGATCGGCAAACAGACAAAATGGAAGCTCGGCAGGCTCAATCGAGGACGCGTAAATCAGAAACGAGGAAATAAATTAACCTCGATAAACCGGGGAGAAGTTGTGGATTCGAGAAAGCGAGAGTAAGGAGCCGTTAATTACGTCAATTTGTCAGAGGACCTCTTTTTCCCTTAGCGGCTGGGAAAATCTACCGAGACAAAGCGAGGAGAAAGAAAGAGATCCAAGTAACACCGGATAAGGATCTAGAGACGCGTAATCAATTTTTCACGTTATCGCA